GCTTGGAATCGATAATTTTTCCATAATACGTTTACGCGAGCGTTTTCTTCTATTTTCGAACGAAACTAAAAATGCCACGACAATCGTTTCCCGTTCATAACAACTAGTGAAAACCGTAATAATTGAATTGTCAGTTGCTTTGAGTGAATTAATTTCGGCAATCTCGCTCAGCATTTATTCAGAAAAATCCAGAATTATCTACTGACGTACTATGAACATTCAGTATATCAAAGCTCTATAATTTCAAAGTGAGATAAAATTCGTAAAACCCGTGTCTTAAAACAACTAAAACAATTTAGTTGCTGATACACGCAAACGAAAATGCAATAATTGTTGTAAACGTGAGCAAAGAAAAATTGAACGGTTTCGATATGAATGTAATTTTTTCATAATCTGTAATAGGCCATAACAGTTTTACGCGCTGCCGTCAAACGAGAACGCTTGTTCTGCGCTGCAACTTCCGTCGTCAAATGTTGATAGCTCGTTTGCACCGTGCAATCTGTGTTTCTGCGAAATCATGCGTTCCGTTCAACCGCGTGGAGAATAAATTAAAGTTTTCGAACTAATTTGAATGGACATCGACGATGTGTAAAAATAAAAACCACGACACGTACCCGTAAATTCGAGCGATGCATTCCAATTGCGGGTTCCGGTTACGCGACGATTTGCAGTCAGTATGAGGAATTTTTATAAACAAAATTATTTTGTAAAGTTTTTTCACGAAACACTTGTTAACATTGTAACTACGTTGTTCGTCAAAACAATTCGCGCGGGAAACATCGTTGATATTAGAGAGATAATAGTTCCTTAGACGATAGAGGGCTATACGCAATTATACATGTGTTCCGCGCGCGTACGATTATAATGTGCGCCTGCACTAGTTTCGCGCAAGAGCGACGCGTTCACAATAAGTACACAGAGATGAAACTTCCGAGCGCAAACATGTTAATGCTGCATCACTAAACGAAATGACTTTGCGAGTTTCGTTATCGTTTTCTTGCTGGCGCGACGACAATTTTCATTGGCCTGCTACAATGAATCGATGCATTCACTCTTGAATAGATTCCAGTGTTCGTATTTTTCACACAATCTTTCGATTTTCATTTACAATACCGTTGACTTTTGTTCGCATAAATTTTTCACACAAGGCGGTGAATGTCGAATATGTCAATCTTTTTACATTATTCTCTTAGCGTTACGAGCCATTTCGTCGTCGCGAAAAATCGATGCGTTTCGTTCACGCGCCGTCTTTAGCGATACGCCTGAGCATCGCAGAAGCAATAAGCTCAGAGAATAAGAGCCGGCCTCACCGAAGGCGATGGTAGACGGCATAAACGTCGTTTTATAACGTCGCGGCCCGACACGAGTGTAAGTAATGTCGAATTTATCCGCACGAGATAAAAGCCACCCACACTCTCGAACACCGAATGTCTATCTTTTCGTCTGCATTCGCCTCCTCGTACAGTTAATTAACGAACGAGAATGCATGCAGCAGAGGGGAAGAGAGAGAGAGAGAGAATATCACCACACGCGTGTACCTCGACTCATTAGCGACAAAGCGAGGCTTTAAACTTGTTGCCGGAACGATAAAGCACGGCGGCTTTATAACTCTGATAACGAGCGTATGACTAATCATTCTCGAAATTGTCACTCGGCGCGTTTTACTCTCAATGTCCAATTAATCGCACGCGGACGCGACTCGCTGTGCGACGAATAACGAAGTACATCACGGATAAAGGATTCCGCGTGGGATCGAACCAAGTTCAACGGTAAAAATACGAAGTACGCGTATCCTACACTGGGGCAGATATGAATGATTCATGTCGTATTCGCGAATTTGCACGGCAAAATTTATTGGAATTTTAATCCCTAGTGTAAGGAGAAACACGCGTATATATACATGTGTATTTGCACATGTAAAACCCAGCCAGGTTTTTTTCCTCGGCAGATATAGCGAAGCGAAAATTCTTCCGCGCTAAAAATTCTCAATTTACGTAACTTCCAGCCGAGACATACGTATCATATTATTCTTTACGTACGAAAACATGTTTCAAAAGTAATAGGCATTAAACGGAGCTTTCATACGCACCGACGCGTATATCGCTCTCGTTGCCGTGAAATGACGAAGAGAAGGAGGGGGAGTGGAAGAAAGGGGACATAAAAAATGAAATAACTCTGAGGCGGGCGAGAGCTTGCACGGGAGAAAGAGCTGCATGCACGAGCCGTTAAATTCTCCATCTCGATCTGGTTCTTGCATCGTAAACGGAAGTACAACGAGCGCGCCAACGCGTATGCGCAGCCGACTCTCTCTCTATCGCGGTGAATTCACATTAGCCCGAAGCCTTTTCCGAACTCGACGCACGGTACTGACTAAATTCATCGCTAATTCCACACGTGTATCAGACTTCAGCTTCGACACGAATACATCTCTCGCCGATTCGGCTCGCAGTCCCGTTTTGAAAGCACGTGCTTGCTTGCGAGCAAGCGAACGAATATGCACACACTGAGTACTCGGCATCCTACGCGCGGATATATTAAACTCCATCAACGAAGTTACCGGGAAATCGAAAACTCTGTCGGACGACTTAGTCGCGTTGAGAACGTACGTACTTGTTAAGCGCGCCGCGAGTCGAGTGCTTCCCTACGCGTGGTACTTGCCTCGAACCGCTCCCTCTCGCGACAACGCACGCGAAAGTTTCCCGGAGAAAACGTCTTCCGAGCGAACTCACCTCTACGCGTTCGCGTATCTCAATTAGGACTGTGCGGAAAATTCCCTTTTACAAACAACAGACCACGGATGTAGCCAGGCCGGGATGCAAAGACACGTTTATGTAACTTTACGCTACATCGCTGACACATAAATAAAGAGCGAAGCGAATATGAGACGTCGTGGCTACGTGTACGTAAGTTAAAAAGAAACAACTAGTTGTAATAACGGTGAAAACTTTTTAAACTGAGTTCTCCCAGCGTCAAAAGTAAATCAGGCGTTTCTTCGCTGCCTTGGGACCGCGGTATTATGCATTTCGTGAAATTAAATTACGCCTAAAGTGAAGATCCCGCGTCTTCAAAGCGTGATTTTCTAAAACGCCTCCTCTTGCGGTAGATCGTAGTTCAACAATTAATCGCGTTCCGGTAACTTCTTTAAAGAACCTTAAGGAAAACTTGCTTCTAGTTCGATAAGGAACAAGTTGTAATAATAATGAAAACTTCCTAAACTAGTTTTTCTCCGTCAAAAGTAAAATTAGGTGTCACGTTGCTTCGTTGTTCCAAGCGATACCGCGTCTCACCGACCGCATCTCATATTAATTAAATCACATTTCAAGTCAAGATTCTGTATCTTCTGAGACGCTTCCTTTTGCGATCAGTTATAGTCTAAAAGTTATTTGCATTCCAATAACGAAAACTCGTTTATACTTTTGATAAGAAATATTACCACGTGCCTATTATTTCACACCGCGTAAGTAATTCAATGATAATCGAATTCACCCACTGACTGAAATGCACATGTATAAACGCATTGTGAGTATAACGGCCAATTCGTTCAATGAGCGGAAAAACAGAACGTGTTGCAAATACCAGACACAAGGTAAATTTAGTTACGGCAAATAATATCTGTTTTCGCGTGCGATAAATAAGATGATATATATTATGCGTACCGATATCTATAATTTTGCGAATTATTTTTATAAAATAAAATACAGTTTTCACTGCATAACCGAGAACACACTATAGTTCTTGAAATTTGTAAGGAGGCAATTTCCAAGCACGTAGGAAAAGTGAAGACATAACGTATGACCGGTTGCGTTACCGGTGAGTCGAAAGAGGATAAGAACGTGTATGGTAAAACAGCACGCTTGTTCTTATCTCGAGCTGGTGGCTAATGCAACGAAATAATGAATCAGGGGATTATCTACGCTCGTATAGGGCGTGCCACGTGAGGGCTGCGAGTTTTCAGCATTATCTTCGTCTCAGGTATCCCCATCGCGGCTGGCACACCTGAGTGCTCGCTCGATAGCCTGATAATTCAAGTAGTATTGTCGTGGCTAATCGCACCACATATCGTAATGTATTAAAGGTGATGCGTGCATGCCAATGCAAATGACATGAAGAAAATGGGAGCGTACAATGTCGACGACACATCACCGATGTCGATATCACGAAAACCGAATTATGTCGTCGTTTGTAAAATTGGAAGTGATCGCTGCGCGTATTCTTATCGTTTGTGTAAGAAGCACGAAGGAAAATATAGCTAGTACTTGAATATCACAAAAAGTACGCTCTATACGAAAAAACGTATCGTTGGAACAATATTCATTTCATTGTGTCCACGGTAAACTTCATATATTATTCTTGTTATTAATATTAATGTGTAACGTATGTAATTTAATTTATATAATAATTCATGTTGTTTATTTTAGACTCATACTATACACTTCATGTGTATGCATATTGAATTCGTTTGAACGTTAATTCTTAAAGGTTCTCAGGGAGGGGGACGCACAATTTTGTCCATAATTAAGGTAATTTATGTAAATTAATATCGGTTCAATTAATTAATAACTAGTTAACATTGTACTGACCACAAAATATTCTTCAAAAATGCGCATTCAATAAAATATTAATTGTGTCGAATTTATTAATAGAAAATATTTATGTTTCATTTTATATATATATATATATATATATATATATATATATATATGCCAAAACTGGTGATAACTTAATTGCACGTGTACGAAAAAGTACAAGCTATTTCCAAATAAAAAAATAAATTATTAATTTCGCGCGGACCGGCTTTCCTATTTCAAACGTACTTTTTTATTCTCTCATTTTCACAGTTGTAATTGATTTTCTACCAGATTGACTTTTCCTTATTCGAAATCAAAATTCAATCGTTTCGCATTTGAACTGTTGTAATATTCAGTAGTAGCTATATCTCCCAGCTTCAAGAGACTCTACAGTGTCACAACGGAGTTTCTCTCCAAAGTAAATCGACTCACCGGTGTAGTGTACGGTTGGCAGGCCAGTCTGATGCCGTCGTGTCGCAGTTTCTCCTGCAGCAACATCCTCAGCTGCATCCTGGGAATTCTCACCAGCTCGGCCTTGCCCTCCTCGTACTCGTCCGCGAACTTGGTCAGCTCTTGACCGCCGCTGGAGGAACTGGCCGTGGGCGACGCGCGTTGCACTTCCTTATCGCTGGGTGGCCTCTCGGACGACGTTCTCGACGACTTGGAGCTGACGTTGTCGCAATTGATGCAGTCGTTCGTCTCCTCCAGCGTAAAATATACACTCGCGGCACCCTCTTCGCGCAGAGTCTTGACCGATTGCAATAGACGGGCGCGGTGCGTCTGATTGAAGACGCCGATCGCGTCGAGATCCGGATCGCCGATCTGTTTGCAGATCTCAAGGTCGTCGTAGCCGTTGTCGATGAATGACTCCGAGTACTGGCCGAGGTGGAGCGACCGCAGCCACTCGACCACGATGTTGCTCGCCATGGTCATCTCGGCTCTCTCTTCCTTTCTTCCTCTATCTCGTTGCGCTCGTGTAGGCCCGGCTACGCCCCCGCGCTTGTTCGACTCTTTTAAAACGGTCTACGCTCGTCCGTCCTTTCTTCCTCTCCTCCCCTCTCTCTCCCCGCAGCTCCTCGTTCGACGATTCCGTTCCTTTATCCGCTGTGCTTGGCAGCTACCATCCCGCGAGGCCACCTTCCAGACGACGTCACAACGTCCATCGAGGCGCGAGGATCGTTTCGGCGAATAAATCGGACCTATGGTTCTCTAGCGCGACATTCTCGTCGGCGCGCGATCGACCGCAGTCTTTAACGAGCGTCGCCTCGGGACCGACGACCCTGAGACACGCGGCGGCGACGATTTGCGGCGGTCACGTTCGCCGCTTGACATGTACCGCTCCTCGGCTCATTACGAGATGTACGATCGAGTCGGAGAACCGGCGCTCGTCGTCGATGATACGATCGTCCGGTCGATGTCTCAGTTTTTACACCGCTTCTCTCGTCCGGGTCCTCGGGTAAATGCGAAGGCGGAGCAGCAGCCGTGACGAGCTGGAAGGCAAACGACCGGTCGAATCTTGTTCTATTTCATGTGGTGCGAGAGGAGGGAGAAAGAGAGGGAGATACGGCGGAAGATTTGGGGAAAAATTTAGAGGGACCACTCGGTCCTTCCCAACGACGCGCCACACGACAGCAGTCGCCCCGAGCGTGTCTCGATAAATCCCGACGCGTTCTGGGTCTTTTGTGTATTGCTGCACCCTTCGGATGTGCCTCGCAGGATCGAATCCGGCACGCTGCCACTCAGGGCTGCATCACTTACTCTGGCCTTACAGTGTCTATTTACGCGAAGAGAAACGAGCTTTCGAGATTGATGCACGAATCGGCGACGATCTCGGCGAAACGTATCTCTTTCAAAAAGAAAAAAAAAATAAATATATAAACAGAAAACGATGTCGTTCTACCCGCACGTTCGCGAGAGATCATCCGCTGGCGCGAGTAACGTGGTCGTCGCGTGGTGTCGCGAGATCGATGAGAAAACGAGGCGCAATTTCCGCACGACGTGTCGTTGCGCGCACCGCGAGATGACGAGCTGCGGAGATGACCTGCCAAGTCTCGTCCGTTTCGAGAGATCCGGCAAGGGAGCAAATCTCGCGAACGACCCGCGTTGTCGTTGAGAAGGACTTCGGCGCGACTTCGCGGCTTTTTCTTCGTCGACGCGAGATCGGCTCGCGCCGAATGGAAGACGATCGTAGAGTGAGGTTAACACGAGATCGACACCACGGGATCTTCGTGAGGGTGTACTTCGCGGAAGCTCCCGTCGTTGGAAAACACAAAACTCGACTACAACGGCACGACGCCCGCGAACGAATTCACGACTCGTCACCTTCGGACGACCTTGAAACTCGCGACGTACTCGCCTTCACTGTCACGTAAACTTGATATCCACGACGGCAGATCGACGAGTCCGTTTTCAATTACTCGTCTTCGGCAAACGCTGCACTGAGAACGAAGAATTCGGCGACGACGAAACGGAATAGATCAACTCACCGGCTGAAGCGCGACGACTCGCTCCCGAAAACGTAACTCGACGACTTCTTGTTGGAAATGGCGTCCGATTCGGAAACGCAGCCTGCTGCACGCAGAAACTCGTATAGTCACTCGCGACGTCACACCACCGGCTATTCCATGCGTTGAAATTTCCCCTCGCGCAAGGACGCTCGAGATATTCAAACGGATCTTTCCGGACACCGGCTGGAAAAACAGCTGCTCCGCTGAGAAATACGCTTTACTTTGCGCGATCACCTTCAATTTTCCAACGGTCGGCCGACACAGTGCAACGACGAGTCCCGTCATGCAACACACGAACCAACGGCGCGCATCTATTGGCCCGCGCGCGCCTCACTTATTGAGATATTGAAATAGCGGTGACAAGCGGCTGAGTTCACGTCGTACGCGAAATCTTGTTCCGACACGTCTCGATCGGTTCTCGTCCGCGCCCGATCGAGAAAAAGGCGACGAAATTCGCGCCTCCCACGAATCACTAGTGCACCCCGATCAGCCCGTGTGCGTCCGATTGAGAAACCGGCGACGACGAACGCGACAAGTCCACGTCGTACACGCTCCGACGGCGTCCCCTGATCGAGGGAAAACAACGACGATATGGACGAAGGCGAACACGACGACGACCGGTGTACGACGTGCTCGATGATCCTCGTCACGAGCGCGAGTCGCTCATAGTCACAACAAGGAAGACGTCATCGTCGGTGTTCGGCGAGACACGCGAGACGCAACACTACTGCACCGACATTACCGCGACGCGGCACACGGCTCAACTGACACGAGACACTCACCAGAGGGAACCCCACTCGTCTGCTCTTCGCGAGCTTCCCCCACCGCCGTCGCCGTCGCCACCGCCGCTAGTCATAGTCCTCTCCCCCACCATCATCGCATTCCCGAGATCACCCACTACCGCGCAACGTGCGATCTCGTCGGCTGGCGGGCGACAGTACCGGCGGCGGACGACGCGTCGCTACATCAGAATGCAACAGCCGCTAGGATGGAACGGACCGGATCTGTCCTGACGAAATTTGAGATGCTGGAACTCGAGGCTCTTTACCTCAATCCCGAGTGGGAAGCCTCGCGACAGCGAATATCTTAGAGATTCTATTTCGCTCTCTTCCCTGGTATACTTTTACGCTCAAATAATAGTACCGCGGTACCCTTTTGTTGACGTTCGGGGAAAACGTTTTAACGGGAAGAAGCGTTTTAATGTCGTCGCCCCAATGCAAATTTCTCGCAACGCATTAGGATCGTTTGACGACGGAGGGACGTCTGCGTCGATGGCAATTTAACCGAATGAAGCGAGAACGGATCAGATATGTCGTACGTATATTTTTCTTACAGTATATTCGGAATGATAGTAACGTAACAAGGATAATTAATTTTTAAAGGGTCATTCAACAATTACGCCATATCACAAGAAGAGAGAGGGTCTATTAGCTTGCGTGACGGTACATGATAGAAAGAAGAGGAAATATAAAGGCCACGAAACGTCACATCAGAAGTAAGGTTCACTTTACATTGCGCACAAATACTTCAAAAATAGACGAATAGACCAATTATATTCTTTCTTTAAATACTTCAAAGCGTTTGCTATTATAGGAAATCTAGAGAATTTATATGAATATGCGATTATAAGTATTTTTTATTCTATATATCGGCGGGAAAAGGAAGTAATTCCACGTATCACGTAATATTGAAAGGGGGCAAATATTTTATGATGAAGATGGAAGGGGGACAAAAATATTTAAATTTAGCATGACATAATTGGCTGAATAGCCTCTTAAGATATTTTTTTAATTGTATCATAACACACATTCATAAATACTGTGTAAAAATGCAGCTTAAGTAACTCGTGTAATTATACTTGCATCGCGCGCATATAAGCATAATGAAAATGCACAAAACGACTGTGCTAACATTCAGGGAATTGTACCTTCACAATTTGAAGATAATAATTTCTCGGCGAATGAGCAGCCGAGAATGAAAACATGAATAAGTCAGTATGCTGTATAAGGTAGAGTAAAGCGATGGGCGAATCTAGGCAATAAAAGTGTAAAAATGTTTGCGAAGGAAATTTATAGATGATAATACCTGAAAATAAGAGAAAAGACTCGAAAGTAGAAAGAACTCGGGAAAAAATAGATAGAATTTACAGAATGATAAACCTCTGCACGTGATTAATAGAAGCAGCGATAACGGATAGCGAGGTTGCTTAATTTTTCAATAATTCTTGTTTTTATTTAACTTCAAAAACAATTACTGCATATCTTCACGTACGCATAAGTACGTACTTTCATATTACATATCATTATGAAATTGATATATTTCACGGACAATTATTATTTCGCGCGACATGATAAAATATTGCACGGTATAAATGAGTCGCGGAGTCGAAATAAATCGTCTGACGTTCATCTAAATTAATTCGAAAAAAGATTTCACGAGTTGAGTACACACACACACACACACACACACACACACATACATATACGCACGTACATATCGATAAATTACGATCTAAACGTTGGTGGCGATGTGTAATTTAAATCCAACAGGGAGAATAACATTGTCCGACTCCAAGATTTGATCACTGTTCGTGACAATGTTTATCACGACGTTAATTTGTATCGTTGTAGTAGTAATACGCGAGAGAAAAAAAACAAGAACGCTCAAGAGCACGCTGATTCTTCTAGTGTAACATTCGCGTTGCGTGATCGCACTCGGAGAGCACCACGATCGTTGAAGGAGAGTTAGTATCGATGACTACCCGCGAGAATCGTAATCAGTGCCTTTGTCAGAAATTGTGGCATTTATAAGTGAACACCTAACGGCAATGGTACGAGGCCCATGACCCACGAGGCCAATAATCTGCAACACACTGCCACTCAAATGGTTGGCACGCTAGCTACGTGCTATTATATTACGCTCGAACGAAATTGGACTGCATCGGACGGCGAATGCGATAGGAGCGGCGATAGTCCGAGGACCCACATGGATGATCGCTTTTTCCCCTTTTCCAGGCAGGCATCGAATATCCTCGGAGGGCAGCTTCCCTTGAAAGCATCGATACGTAAGGCGACGATGGACACCAGCGCCTATTGGATAATACAGAAGACCAGAGCACCATGTAAGATAATTGTTCATTAACAATGAAAGAATCGATCGCACGATCTTCCGGATCAAAAGAGACAATTTAGGGATTAATAGCGCACGGTGAAGCGCGTTTCTAATGTCTGATAAATAAGTAATTCTACGACGTTCTGAACACGTTGTTCGTGTTATTTTGAAGAACGCTTATAAAGATTTCGTCGAGTAATTTTAATACTTCACGCTGTCATATCCGTAACATATGATACCGTGACATATGATATCAATTACAGAAACGAATAATTAACGAGAATTGAGATTAGGAATGTGCGGTATTAAGATTCTAATGTCTCGCGTAAAACATGTATTACGTCCGTTCTTTAAAAAGGTGCGGATTGGAATATTGATGGCGAGCATCACTTCGTAAAATCTCCGTTAAATGACAATGCTAGTCGCGCGAAGCTTACGAACGATATGATCACCGATATGTGCGTGAGGTCCGAATTAATTGAATGATCGGCATGGACGTACCCGTCCTGCTGTGACGGCAAAGCAGGGAGTGACAAGTAGCTCTCAATAACGTGATATGACATCGCGTGTCGTGGACAGGAAGGACCCTTTCAATGCAACCCTCGCTATTTCCTCGCTTTGGTCGAGTAATTTGCTTTCGAAGCAGAGGGATGAGATCGGAAGACGAGTCACCTGTCAATATATTAACTCGTTTCCGCGATACTGCGAATTATTATGGAACTGCGAGATAAAGCTTTTCATCGTTCGCCAGCTGTTTCGCGTGTCCGAAATATTTATAACCGTGTAGCAAAATTTCCCGCAATACATATTACTTTGGATGCTCCTGATTATGCCGGCCAAACGAAATTAGTACGGTCTCTTTGAATTCGTCGTTGATGTCAATTGGCGTGATGGATCCCATTAGAATATTTTATACCGACAACGAAAATTTCACGTGACTGTTGGACAATCGGTCAAATGCATTATCGTGGCCTACAAATATTTTAATAACGTTTTAATGTCGGGCGTAATCGGCATGCGCGAGTTGTTTTCGGGGCAAAAAAATATTGAAATTTTTTAACGCAACGTGTCGCATCGCGATAATATTTTATGTTCGTTTCACGACGTATAAACGTGTCATTTCCGTTATTTAGGGAGGAATTTGCAGCCGCGTCGGCGCGAATAATAGCATAAATCACATCGCAGCATTAGTCATTAACAAGTGATTAATTCTATAAATAAGGGTACGGAAGATTAGCATTCCGACGACTGTCCGCTGAGTATGATAAAGCATGACCTCCGAGCGAGAACGGTTACCGCATACAGAGTAGGATAAACGTAGGGTCCTGTCGGATGCTGGTTAGGTACTTGGCTTATCTATAATCGGTGCGTTGACAAGACATGACGCTAACATGAATTTGTAATTTGCAGCTATATGTTGATAAAAGATCACGCATTAAATATATAATAAATATTCAAACGGGTGGATATATCCATGTCGAAATTTTCATCTTGCATTCACCCTGCAAATTCCGTCGAATAAAAAATCTCGAATTAATATTATATTGGTGAAAAAAGAAAGATGTGTTTCAAAATTATTTAATATTAGATTATGTCAATATTCTACCTACATTTAATTTTTAATCTTGATTTCAATGAACAATGTATTTATTATGCAGTTTACTTAAGCGCAAATAGAGAGATAAACCGATATTGATTAATTGTTATATGCAAATAATGCGCTGTATATTATCCGTATTTGCAAAATTGCGACAGATACTACCATTCACCGTGAATTGCGATATAATTATTAATTGAGAAAAGGGAAGCCTGAAGAAGGATAGAGACTAAAACGACTTAGAACATTGTAATAACATTGTTCTCCGACGCAAGTCGCGACGTACATATTTTTTAGCGTCGCTCCGAAATGGGATAGAAAATAACCTGCGGAACGTTCTCGCCATTCGTCCTTCTCTTCATTGTTTTTGCAGAGAGGACGGAGGGCGATATATCATCTTCACGTCGCCGGCACAATATTCCATGCCGGTATAACGATATAAATTCTAATCGATACTCCGTCTGGCATTTAATCCTGTAACTTTCATACGGACGCCGTTTCATTGTTTACGAGTACAGTGACGGCGTGTTTACGGCGTGTTTTACCGTTTGAAAACAACCAATAAAACGGCGCTTCCTGTTCGCGGCGAGCCGTATCGACGGCCGAGCACAGCCTGCGACGCTGCAACCAGAATTGCGGCTTCGTTGTTGCCGCGAGCGGCGATCCGCTGCTTCTGAGAGGTCGACGTCGCGGTATAAAAAAATCGAGAGAAAGACTAGCCGAGTAGATAAAATGTTCAAAAATATCGACGTTAACTGCCGATTCGTTTGACTGCGACCGAGGAAGAAAACGCCGCGACCCGATGGCTGCGAAATGGCCATCGTAAATAGCGGGTTCGCGCCCCAAACATAAAACCCGAACGAGCCGGCTGAGCTTAAGGCGGACAGCCGTTTTGAAAAAACAGCAGTGCGCATAGCTTTATAAGCGTTATGCGCATATATCAGCCGCGTTAACTGCCGATATAAAATGCAAGGAAAAAGATTCGGACTACGCGTGCCCGTCGCGGTCAGATCTCGCTCGTTCGCGGTACCAGCTAGGTAGGTTACGATATTGTAATTAAATAGAGGCCGTATTTCACGGTGATTCACCGCCGCTAGACGAGTCGTTCGTGTCATTAACGCTTTACGGTGCCGCGACTTGTCGCGTCCAGATTGCAACGACGCGGCATTGTCGCGACGACAATTTTTCGGCTCCGTTATGCTACATTACGCGAATGCGCGCGATTTAGTGCTTCGCCGATATTTCATTCCAAAAAGAAGAAAGAGAGAGAAAAGGGAACGCCGCAGCGCGTTTTTCCTTCGCCCACTCCCGAATAATTTCGTGACATTTATCGCTCAAGGCTGCGCTCGTAAACAGCGAATACGGAGGCCCTATTCGGTATGTATCTAAGAGCGCACTATAAAGCGCGGCCCCATGAAAAGAATTCCGCGCTCTAGGATACGTTTAATGATGGATCGTAAAGAGTGAGCAGTAAATGATAATGATAGCGAGGCCTGTTCTATGAAAACGTTACTCGCGCTGCGAGTATCCCGGCAGTCCGTAACACGAGACTAATTTCTGTTTTTCCCGGTGCGCACGCCTTACGATGCCTTGGAATCTGCGTAATTAAGCTAGGGTCTCGCGAATAAATTTACATCGTCGGTAAATCCTTCACATTAGATAAATGCTCACAATTAGCTTCCACTCCCGCTGCGCGTTTTGGATTCGCGAGGCTGTCGCTCCGGTAATTAAATAATGTTGTTAGCAGCTGTTATAATTTCGCGTGAAAGTGGTATCCCTTTATTGTTAGTGCATTTTACCTATGCCTATTAATTATTACTTAAAATGAGTGTACGGGCGCTAATTATAAATCTGTAGTGTTCAACAAGTTCCATCGCGAAGTAGGTCGCTCAATATTCAAGGGATTTTGTGTATAAATTTCTCGTGTATTGCGCGGTATATCTGCTGCCAGGATAAAAGGAAGGTGACATATTTCGGAAATAATTACAAAACTGGCAAGAGTATTTGCTGTATTATTCATTATTCGACATAAAGCTACGTAGGATTTGTTTCAAAATTACCTATGCAAGGAAATGATTAATTAAGACTTTCAACTTATCGAATAAACTTTGTTTTCCTGTATAAGTTTGCTATATCTTCATACTTCTTTAACTGAGCTAATTTCACTGAAAACCGTAAGAAACAGACTTCGGGGTGATATCAGAGACGGCGGTTTAACGACACCGTAACCCTGGTCGTAGGTAGAAGGAATGCACTTCATTTCTGTACGGGATGCATAAAGGACCGTCCTTGTAGCCGGAAAAGCTCGGGTTAATTCAGAGGCCCGGCGAAAGTCGTAAAATAGTGCGTGACTGCCGGTTTTCCGGCGGGAAGGGGAAAGGAAAGCGCATACGTACGTAAGTACATGCGGATGTGTTTGCGGAGCATGTGGAGCTTTCTAGAGGAACTTGCGTGTGCACACGTGCAACGTGCTTGTACGTGGCCATGTGTATAGGATGTGTCAAAATCGTGTATTTCAATTACATCTTTGTTCAGCTCTTGAGCTTTAAGACCTTCCTTTAAATTTCACGGTAAACTATAATTAATCCCTCAATTATTCAATTGCATTGTTAAGCGACTCGATAATTGCTTTTATATTATTTTTCATTTTTTCTTTATTTATTACATTTCGGAACTTTAATCTATGAAAATCTTATCTTTAATAATTAAGCAGCCATAAATTGTTCAGGACTCAAAAGCAAAATCACTTCCACGCGTCTTAAATACCTGTTTAAGCTCTCTTGTTAAGATACGGTGGTTTTGAGAGACCCTATATAAGTAAGGACGGTCTAGTGGCTTACCTTGGATTCGGAGGGTAGGATTCTGCCGTGAGCGAGGCACGTACGTCTTCTACGACTAGAGAGATACCATTACGAAGATGACGGTAGGCAACTGAAAAAGTATACAACCGTTCAGGTTTTCCTATGCGAGACAGAGGAGAGGTTTGCTAAACATGAAGACGTTGCCGATACAAAGTTAGCATCCATAAGCGCCGTGTGCGTGCGGATAAATTCGGAGCATTTCGAATTCATTTCAATTTGCGTTCGCGCAGCTTATCGATGAGAAAGGTTAATAAGATAAGCGGTATAACGGTGGGTTATGTGAATGAAGCTGCAGCAAATATTCTCAGCAGAAGATAGAAATGAAAACATTCGTTCCAAGCACAAAACGAAAGCGTATCTCACATTTCGCACGGATAATAAACGATACATTCCTTATTACATATTCGTGATATATAAGTGAAATAATTCTTCACTTTATTATATATTTTGCTCGTTACCTCGTACCGATTTTTGATCGCTTTTTTTTTTTTCGTACGACTGTCTAGGCGTGTAATGCGAATTAGGGAGGGTGGAATCGGGCATTCTAGCGTAGTGCCGAGATCACAGCCGGAGGCGGTACGAAACGGTTATGTGGTTGTCGAGTCTGCTAAAGCACAAGGTCAAAGTTTCGGCAATTTGGGATGCGATGCGGGTAAGGAGGCAGCAACTTTAATCACTTTCGAATCGGGGTAAATCTACTCGCGTATCTCGAACCCGCAGCTTCACATCGCTTGTAGTTACTGCTTTATGAGAAGATTCGACTACAAGGGTATCGTGTCGAGGGGATGGGTAGGACAAATCAGCGGGCAGATTTAAATTAACAAATAGTTCAGGATTTATTGTCTCTTTTACAAAAATATAATTTCTCTAACATGCGACGCAGGTCTCTCTCATACATCTTTACGCTTTAATGGACGAATAAATATAGTTACACAAACAATTCCGCGCGTTTGATCGTATCATTCCGCCGGGAATACGATCTAGCTGTAAACATGCGAACGACACATCTTAAGAAAATCGTCAGCGGTTCTCTCTATTGCTTGTACCGTATTACCATAACAGGAAGTATTGAATAGATTCTCGCATTTCGTATCTCCATCACACGCCCCGGAAGATTATTCATCTCTCTGGACTTCGTATCGCGTTACTTTCGCGCCCTCGAAACGCATCACTCTCTCTTTCCCTCGTCACCCACGTTGAGCGCGCGAAAGTAAATGCCGGTGTACATACAGATGTGCGTGGTTGTGTGTGGGCACATATGTATATACCCCGTCTCGATCCCTTTCGTTTCGCGATTTTAGGCGGAATTTTAATCGAGGCCGCGACCTAGCGGACGTTTCGCTGCAGCCGCTGCGTGCGAGAATCCATAAATATCAAGTGAAACGCGGGACAAATGTATGCGGCGTGACTGCCGTGCGGTGTATCCAGGCTATTCGAAAACGGCAGATGTATCGCGTCGGCGTGCAAATCGAGACGTCGTTCGCAAAACGGATCTCTCGACGCGGCTTAATAGAATTTCTTCGCTGGTACTGGATACGAGTATCCGTCGGCGTGCCCACCCAGGTGGATATTCGCGCCATTGAAACCGTGGTCGTGATGCAGGATATGACCGATCCCGTGGCCGTGCCCGTCGATGTGGACATGGCGATCGAAGCCGGGATCGATGGATTCAGGAATGGGATATGAGTCGTGGATCAATCCAGGACCCGACACGTGCAGAGGTATGGGCGCGGGCACTGGTACCGGAATTGGTTGCGGGACCGGAATCGGTTGCGGGACTGGATGGGGCACGTGGACGGGGTGAGGCACCGGCACCGGGACGGGACGCGGCACGTTTACGGGTACGGTCTTCGTGACGACCACCGGCACTGGATGAGGCACTGGAACGGGCACGGGGCGTTTTACCTCGACGGGCACTGGATGCGGCACTGGCACGGGGACCTTGTGCGTCACGGGGACGGGATGGGGCACCGGCACCGGCACATGTACCACGCGATTCACTATCTGCGTCGGGTGGTGGAAATGTGCGAATCCGTGCCCGTATCCGTGACCGTATCCGTGACCGTATCCCAGATGGATGCCGCCGAAGCCTGGTCCAAATCCGTCATGAGCTATGATTCCGTGGCCGATTCCGTGGCCGATTCCGTGGCCGATCCCGTGGCCGATTCCGATCCCGTGGCCGATTCCGATCCCATGGCCGATTCCGTGTCCGTATCCATGACCGTAGCCGCCGTATCCGCCCGCGTATATCGACCCACCGTGCAGGAGGCCGCGTTTTTCGTGTTTCTTCTCTATTGCTGGTGCATCTCCGGCGAACACGGAGACGGCCAGCAGCAAGACCTAGAGGCGAACAGGCGCGTCGTTAGTTGTATCAGTAAAGAAGAGACGCGAATAACGCGTGCGTTATTATATCGCGGAAATCCGCGACTGTTCCGCGCAGTTGCATTAAGTTTAATCCGGGCCGATCGCGCCGCTCCGTGACCCGTAAAAAGCGCTTGTTTAGGCAAATGTACACGGATATGTGTACTTCGTGCAAATATTTGAAACCCGTAAGGGATTAACTAAAAACTCAATATGCAAACAAGGTAGAAAGATTAAATAAAAATAGACGCGTTACAATAAAAATGATGTAGCCACTCAATCGCGTTACGATGCACTTTATCTGCGAATGAAAAAAAAATAGAATAGAACAGTCCAACCACCGAAATGTTACGGAACTGCGCTTTTCAATCGGGCGTTATTACACTTAATCGCTGCAACAAACGCTAAAATTTTACGTGGCACTCGTGGCTTTACGCGGTCTACCAGAGGCGAAAACTCGCCGAGAAACTTCAGTACTCACTAAGAATGTCTTCATAGTGAACGTAGGAAGAAGAGATGGACCTGAATGTGCTTGGTGTCAACGATTCCACGGTTTTTATACTGATGGAACTACTTTCACTAGATAGTCGCTACAACACGCCCTCTGATCTGGACCACAGACCTCCTTTTGAGCTTCGAAATTCTGACGTAACTAATCATTCATGTGAAGATACTGGAAAGTCGAATTGGCTAGGCAAGTTGACATGAAAAATATGCATAAGCTACTCAGCATCCATTTCTTCACGAGTCATATATAAAATTCATATAATTAACGCGTGTCTGAATTTCTTAATACTTTTACTACTTTTGCGTAAGTAATTTGGCGATTTGTACATATATGAACTTATGTTATAAATCAAGAACGTGTGCGAAGTTGTAAAAATCAAATGAGGTTTGTAACACATACGCTCGTCAGCGCGAGCTGAAGTTAAAATAACATTCTTGTCCGCATATTTGTTAGCGCGTTTCATTGTCGGTCTTGATAGCAAGCTTTGTTAATTGAATCGCACTTGTATCGCTATCATCAACGATATTTTTTCTGGTATCTGGAAATGTCATTTCCACGTACCACGATTATTTTCAACGTTTCAGCATATAACGGTTCAATGCACATATAGAACGTAAAAATGTTTTCCGGATGTGTCTCGCTCGAATCGTACAATCTTATCGGACATTGCGCTTTCAATAGAAATAAAGGGGTATAAAATTACGATCATTCTCTCCCTCTCCAATTCTTGTCGATGAATTTCCTTCCATCGCAAAAGTTTTAGACATTAACGAATTACACGTATACACGTACAATCTTTATACGTGACAACGTACCTATGCAAGTGAGTTTATATTCAAGCCATTGATTTCGAATCGTTGAATGCGTGATGCAACACCGTTGAAGAACTCCGTTAACGTCCGGCCTAAAGTACTTTATAAACGCGTAAAATAGCGAAAGCAAATTTTTTTTTTTCAGAAATTGCCTTATAATCTCCATTATCCCGACGAAAAGTAACAATGAGCGATGAATTTCTTTCGCGACGATACACACGTGAATCGACGATGACAGTTACAAGAGACGCGTTACCTAACACCATAACCTCCTGCGCCTCCTGCGTTTAACTCCTTTCCAGTTGCTTTATTTGCCGTGGTCAACCGGTAATTGCCCTTTTACTTACAGTTTAAACGTCGGCAGCGCGCTCGTCCGGGACAATAAATCGGTAACCATACGGCGACAATTAGCAACGTCTCGTTGAGCGCGTTGTGAGAACCGGGCGCCGTTTCACAGTCTCGTAGTCCTAATTTCCTTACTTGAGAATTAATTGGACTTACCGCACAGAGAGATCCAATATTCCTGCCGAGCGTGCATAGTTCAAAGCGTAGGCGAGTATTACTGCAACCGATGACGCATTGTCCGCCGCTCGATTTTACTTTTACAAAAATGGAAAATGTTCTCTATGAGATTTCGCTCGAGGACAGAAACGTAAAATTCCCTATCAGCGCGAATAACCTGCTGAAATAGTTAAAATATTCAACATCTCGATTCATTAATCATAACTCATTAATCGAGTGGAAAAGAGGAGAATTGGGTAAAGGCAAGTTGGCGTGTCTTTTATTTTTAATTTCATAATCAGCAACGTATGGCCAAATATCGAACGTCTTGTGCCCGGTCACCGATACGCTCACGTGATTTATGTCCCGGAAAAACAGACACGAAAGAAAACGTATTTTCTCTTAAGATCGCGCCACTTGAACCAGCGGCTGTCGCATCCGAGCGACGAGGCGCGTATTTAGCTGCTGGCCAAGTGCCCTCTCATAATTAGCAGTTTCCGAAAGATTTCCACTGGCAGTCCGCTGGCGGGCGCCGTCAGGATTTATCCGCGTCATCCTTTTTATTCGGGTATTCGCGAGCGAGCTGCCGAGAAAAAGAGCAGAAAGTAAATGGAGACATATTCCTGTAAGGGCGCGCTCGCGAAGTACGGTCGATGCAGAGCGGGAGCTAATGTCAGAGATTAGAGGTAATCCGTTCTCGCTGGCAATCGTCGAGAAGGATCCTACCTCGTTCGCAACCGGCGCTGCTTCGATCTAGATACTGCAGGCACTGTCGCAGCCTCGTAGGTCCTCTCTCCTTACTTCGCGACTGCCGGGCTGAGGGGCTCTCCTTCCGCCCCTTTTTCGCCGGCAGATACATTAGAAGGAATTACGGAGAGCGTTTCGAGTGACGCGAGCATTAAGACCGCGCAAGACACGGCACCGGCGGTAATTACACTAATTACGGAGTCGTTAGGATTCTTTATAAATACTGCACTTTTGTTGTCGTTGTTTTTTCCCCTCTCTCTCTCTCTCTCTCTATGTTTCTCTCGTTCCTTTTTTACCTCGCAACCGCTGTACAAGCGCGAGCTTCGGAAGCGACCACGAAAGGAACGTACGCCGACAGCTTTATGGAAAATTCTGCGGCTGTGCGGTCCTTGTTACCCTCGCCACGGACTAGTTCCTTCTTGCATTTACCGTTACTACCTGGAAGCTAGTATATGCAGCGACACGCGATGCGAGATGTAAGAAAACCTTTTTCTACAGCGCTACTGCGTTTCCTGCGGAATTTCGAGACGGCTTTGTCGTATCAGTATTAGGAGCAAGAGACGAGTAGTTTTTTTCCGAATAATAAAAGTTTCAGGTTCTCTAATTTAATCTTAGATCAGATATTTTCACTCCAAATGAAATTCGGATATATGGACACATCGTAAATATATCGTCGACTTTCATGTTTTATCCTTCTCTACTTTCACTAAACCAGTCTCCGAAGAAATCAAAAATATGCACCTGTGAACTCGTTGACACTTCTTGAAGCCCGGCCATAAAGCTTAACCACACATATGAATAATTAATATATTTCGCTAATTGATACGGCAGATACAGGGGCAGATTATATCAAATCGGTTACCTCGTTCACAAAATTCGAAATATTCTGTAATGTAAATACGATTTCGCTTGTAAAACTGTTCGATATCTTTATATTTAAATATATACACGAAAGAAAAGAGAACATAGATATACATATATAAATAATATAATACGGGAGCTACATTATATATATATGTACAAGCGTTGGCACAATATTCAGTAGAAAGAAATAGTTTAAACTAGCATGAGGATCGCACAAGTTCCGCCAGCTATAAGACGAGCAAAATATAAGTAAAATTATAAATATTTATCACTTTGAACTGCTGTAAAATATAACCGAAGTGTGGCCATCGAAATTCAACGGGGGATGCTTGCACAAGTGTTTCGCTTGCGAGTATAAACGTGAAACGTAAAATCATCCACAGAACATGAATAAGTCGAGCCGCCGGTAAATCAAGATGCTTATGAAACGCACCTCGTACAGATGCGTTCTATAAATCAGGGGCGATTACACGACAAAATATCGCGCGTCGCATCTTGACACGCGCCTTTCCATTCGGGAATAACGTACTTTCGCGAACGCTCCGAAGTTCGTAAACCTCTTTCGCGGATTCGTACGTCGACATTGTTTTACGGCGTGTGGGGTGGTAAAGACGACGACGGCGACTACGACGGGATGGAGAACGACGGGCGTCGAGCCGGCGGTGATGCGAGAGCGCGACGGGGGGAAAGTCGATTCTGCGGCCGTCGAAATAAAAACTTTTCTCCGCCGAGTTTTCCGCGCGACTCATCTCGAACGCGTTCCCGGGCGCGGCGGTGATCCTGACGTTCCGCGCAAATTGCAGCCGCCGACAATCAAACTTATCCGCCGTGCGAGGCACCTAAAACGCGGGCGACTTCGTAATCGCGTGTCGTTTGCGCGACGCACCCCTCGTTGCAGCCTGCGGGGATCCGCATTTTTAAAAGATGGAAGAAGAATCTCGCGTTCCGTCCTTTCCTCGCAATCCGCAGATACTTCATGCCGTGATTGCTTGTTCTCGAGATATACCCGCGTATAACTTTGATTCCGGAATCGAACGCGACCTCCCGCGGCAATAAAAGTCGCGGTGGACGGTAAAATCGTGCTGTCGAGGTGTAATAAAGTAATACTTCGCCGAGGTAAACAAACGTTATTGGTTTCCGGACTACAGATACGAAATCACCACGGGATTCTTTTCGCTGCTTTTGCAAACATCGGTCGGATTAACGAAAGATCGAGCAGGTGCGCGGCCTTCTGCGGTGACACAGGCATTATCACATTCTTATCGAGACGTTCAATCATTCCATCCAGTTGGATTACTCGGATTACGCATTTATTTTCAAAGGAGACCCAGATTTACGATACTTGGTTCTCTCTCAAGCTTTGAACGTTAAATATGCAAGATATTCTTGAAAAAAGTACGTCTGCAAGACGGTGAATTTTATTTCTTCTTTTTTTTCGTAAACCGATTCGAGAGGAGATCGTTCCTCGGGATCTCACAGTAATCCAAAATCTCGGAGAGGATCATTTTATACATCGGGATATACGCACGTAAGTGCGCGTATAAATGATGCCGTCGAGCAATTCGTAGTACTCGCAAACGTTCCTGTGTCGCTTTTTGCCAGGTCTGCGTCGCGGATCGGTCGGTCGACACCGCCACGCTTGTGACGCGTCACGACGGAAGTGGTGAGTTTTTGTAAATTGCCAACGACTCGCGGAATTGCCCCATAACCAAAATGAATTCTAGAAGGTCGCGTCGAGGTGAATGCTGCTGCAGGCTCTGCGAAATCGAGCTCTCGGAGCGGCCTCGCATCGGCTGGTAATCGTATTAAAAGGGGTGAAGCACCCAAGATCGAAACTTTCGCGAGCGAGGTAACGCGTAAAGAGAAAATGGGAATGGGTGAGAGTGAGGGGAACAAGAGGGAACGAGGGCGGGCGGTAAAAGAGGGACGGCAGAGAAGAAGAGACAGAGGGGAGAAAATAATGGAGGAGAGAGCCTCGACCGAGAGCGACGGGCTCGCCTCGCTTTGAGAGTCCGTCCTGAGGACTTCTTTTAGGAATTTCGTCGCGGCAGAGCCGCCCGTCGC